GACCATAGCATATAACTCTTACTTTCTACACTTAGCTGTACTTCACTTGGTAAGAATAAGCTATTACTTCTCCATTTTACAGTGGTATACCATGTTTATAACGGACTAATAATTGAATAATATTGTTTACAGCAGCTCAGACTAATTTTACACAACAAGACCTATCGCCGCATTTTTCCTTGTGAAAACAAAACTTTTTTTTGGCCGTAATCACTTTGTCTTCTTTTTTTGAAGCCTTCCGTTCACGTCACGGTTCTCGTTCGTATAGGAGTGTGGATGGAGTACTATCCATAGCCGTCTGGCCCCGCCCTCGCGGACTACTGATGCTTCCAAGGACATTAGCTTATAGAGATACGAAGCATCGTGATTGGTATGACTAAGAATAGGCTAAAATAATACATTTTAAAAAAATTTGCGAAGTATCGGTGTGTAATTCCTGTAATAGACATAGAGATGGAACGGTGGTCGGGAGTAGGGCCTAATGCCTCGAAGTTATCTACGCTCAGATTATTGGCTCTTTTTCGTTTTATGATATTCTTTTTGCATGTATTCGCATTGCTGTAGCTCTTTTTAATAGGTTCATAATTTGTAATGGATAACAACTGTTCATTGCTTAGAAATTTGTTTTGAGAACTCTTTTTATTTGTCTTCTCACGCTCCTGCTTTCCTTCTGACAGCTTCACTTCAAGAAATTATGAGAAAAGAGCGTTTAGCTCAGCTGGACGATATTGCAAATCGATGGGCTTTCGGTAATCGTATAACGTAGGAGCTTGCAGAAGAAAATACAGCGTTCCGGTAAAGCATGCAACAGCGAAGATGAAGAGAAAAAATCTGTCGAGCACAGCAGCAACATATTTCCAGTCTTCATCAAGCTGAGGAAAACAAATCTTAAAATTAATTGCAGAGTACCCTTATCTACACCTACCTTGTCGGTTCGATCATTCTTTTTGAGGATCTCAGCGATAAAAACAATATTTTCGAAAGCTTTTACGACCTGCAATTCTTCTGTCTGTATTTCTGGGATGAGTGACGGATTTTGAAATAATTTGGATCACCTGTGGAGAGTAGTACAACTTCTGTATCCTTTCATCAACAGGAGCGTCTCTGCTCACACGATGTTCATGGTAATTCAAAGGAATCTTGCCATCTAGCTCTCAAATAAAACGAATTTAGATGCTGAGAACACCTTGATTTTAACTATTAGAATAAAGGCTGACCTCCTGCTTTCCGCGAGCTGACTCCTCTAAGGGACTCATCATTGCCAATTAGTTGCCTTTCCATGAATAACATTCTAGGCAACCAGTCGAGAAAAACGGTCCTTACCCATTTTGGCATAATTTCTGCAGGTGGAGTTCGAAAATGGAAGCCCAATGCTGAAATTTGAATTTTCTCATATTTGAGATTGCAAAGTTTTGTATGATCATGTGGAACTCACAAACAACTGTGATAAGAACACTCAAAGTTACCATAATCATATTAAAAATCAAATATTTGCCTATTAGTGGTAAGGTTACAGAAGTTGCCGGAATGAGATCAATCTGAAATTATCTTTGATTTGATCATTGAGTCGGAAACGGAAGCAAGCACATCAAGCCCAAATTTTGTTCGACAGAAGGGTATTTTCGGAGGGTTAAACTTAGAAACGTTGAATAAAATAAGGGAAAAACAAAACTTACCAGCAAAAGGAAGAACACGGTAAGAGCGACAAGTATTGAGATGCACAATGACACTTTCTCGCCGGAATACGATGGTAGGTAAAAAACGGCTATAGTCAGAAACGATATACCGACGCAGGGAAACACTAGATTTACTGTGTAGAATAGCGGTTTACGACGAAGTATGAGATAATACTGAGCAAACACATTTCCGTTACTTGAGGAAATTTTAGGATTAGGTAATACATTGCTCACCGTAATATCATTGTAAGCGCTGTCCTTACAACAACTTGGATAATTCTTCGACCGTCGTATACCTATTCTTGACATTATATCCCATTCTACAGAAGGATAGTAGTCGGACAGATCTTTAAAAGATAAACTTATAATGGATATTGCTATGATCAAGAATAATGCAAACCTATTCCGTCTTCTGCTATGGTTATATTGTCGACAACTCCTCTTTCGTTCACTTCCTCCCTGTAGCGGACATTTTCATCAAGCAATTCCAAATGCAGAAGCTTCTCGGAATATGTCCATGACCCAAACTGAATGGAATAGAAGAGAGCTTATGGAGGTAAACGGGGCGTGCAATTTATTAGCTCTCAGCTATTGAAATCGATATTCGATTACCTGAATGAAGCCCTGTAGAACAAGCTTGATTTCGCAAG